GGGTGCCCCCCTCGTGTGACACCCCCGTGTCTTGTCCCAGTGTCACCCTGAGGGAGGGGACAGCACCCATAGATTCCCCCCCAGTTTGCATGGACACCCCACCTCCCCAAAACTTGGCAACCCCAACACCCAAAGGGGGCACACAGTACCCAACCCCCCACTTTATCCCCTGAGGGGGCTGTGCAAACACCCTTTTTCTCCCCAAAATGAGCCAAATCTGGCAGAATTTACAGGGTTTAAAGGAGGGGTGTAACAGGACACACACGGGCGGTTCTGGGCTGGGACAGAGGGTCTGGGGGAGCCCCATGGAGCTCCCCGTGTCCCCCCCATTGTGTTGACACCAAACGGTGCCCCCCCCCACACACTATTTACTGTCAACACCCCAAACTGGTCCCAACTGGGCCAAACTGGGCCCAACCCCGCTGACATCACCCTCCCTGTGCCTATAAAAGTGGGGGTGGGGCCACCCACCTGTCCCCTCTCCGCTGTCACCCTCTGGTTGTGGGGTGTCCCCCCCTGCTCCCCCCACCATGCTCTTCTGGCACGGCCAGCCCGACCACTACTGGTCCAGCCCTGGGGACATGTACCCCCTGCCCAGTTCGGGGGTGCTCAGGTACCCCCCACCCCAAAAACCTGCCGGCTTTGGGGAAACTGAGGCACAGTTCCCACCGGTTTTTGGGGGTGTTTCCCTCAGGGACCCCCCTGTCCTGCCCTACCTGAAGCAGGAGGAGCCCAACGSCATCTCCACATCGCAGCCGCCTCTCCCGGCGTTCCAGTACGTTCTGTGCGCCCCGACCTCCCCGGCCGTGCGGCAYCACGAGGAGACCCTCACCTACCTCAACCAGGGTGAGTCTGGGGGCGCCGGGGGCGAGGGACCCCCACCCAGCCCCCGCTGAGGGCTCAGCACCCGCCCCGGAACCCTCCCCAGGACAATCGTACGAGATCCGAATGATGGGAACGCCCCGGGGAGACCCCGCCGAGGGCCGGAGGATGGTCAAGGTGAGCCGGGTGGAGACCCCCGGGACGGGGGGGGGAAGCGTCGGGCAAAGATCTGGGCTGAAATCTCGGTTCAGCCCCAGTTCGGCCCTATTTCAGCCCTATTTTAGTCCCAGTTCAGCCCCAGGCTGGTCCCAGTTTAGACCCAGTTCAGCTCAGGTTCAGCCCCAGTCCAGCCCCATTTCAGCCCCATTTTAGTCCCAGTTCAGTCTCATTTCAAGCCTCATCTAAGCTCCAGTTTAACCCCAGTCCAGCCCCAATTATGGCTCAGTCCAGGCTCATCTCAGCCCCAGTTTTGCCCCAGTCCAACCTCAGTCCAGCCCCAGTCCAGCCC